GCGTGTACAAATCAAACATTTTATCATTGTACTATTTGTTGGGTCCAGTTGGGTAATGCATGGTATATCCAAGAAAAATATTTGAAATTCTTCTCTTTATCAAGTAGGTTAGACCATTACATCCTTTAAAAGTAAAATCATTATTAACATGTGCAAAATTTACTTCCTTTGCCCTTAAATTAGGGCAACCAAAGAGTCTACATCATTAGAATCCACGATACCCATTTTAGAGATTGATATCCACAGGTGCACCTACACCTTTCACAATGACAAACCGATCAATTTGCACTTCATTCGCTTCAAATTCCCACAAGGGTTTTTTATTTTACACACCAAACTATTGAACCCTATTATACACCAATCTAATATTACAAAATTTAATGACAGCCTATCTAATATCAATATGCACTCTACAAAAACAAATGCACTTCTTTTTCAAGAAAAAAGCCACGCGCCCCCTTTTTTGGCTGCTAAGAAGCCACTAATGTTTTATATCTTTTCCTATTCCTTTATTTTTTTTATATCTTTTTTGGCTATTTATTTACAAACTAACCTTAGGTGCATCAAACTCTTAATTTAGACATTTAAATTTTATGATATTTATTGTTAAACCTTACTGTTAAATTAATTTTATTTACTATAAGTTTATAATAAAGTATTTTCTAATGACTTTTATTTAATTTATAATATATTAATGCAAAATATTTTGTATTGCTATTTTTTCTTGTTTATTTACAAATTAACCCTTAGATACATCAAATTCATAATTTAAACCTTATAATTTTATGATATTTATTAGTAAACCTTGCCGTAAAATTCATATATATTATTGAAACAGTTGTGCAGTCACAAGACACAACTATCAAAGAGAGTTTCACAAGGAGCATAATCATTCGTAAGCCAAAGTTTAAGGATGAGATATTCAATTCACTACGACATCATGTTTCAGAGCATGCTTTGGATAAAATCTTAGAAGAGCTTCATCGGTTAAAATGATTTGTACCAACTCCTGAGAATTGTGGCTGTTAACTACGGACATGTTTTAGTTTACCATGCGCTCACGAACTTGCGATGAATGTCAATACAGGTATGTCAAATGTATTGTATTAAATTGACAATGTTTATATGTATAATCACTTTATAACATTTTGATTATTTTACTATACGTTCACCTATTCCGTTGGATTCAATTGATATTTTTTGGAGAACGCTTGATTTGAAGCCTTATGTATTTGTGGATTATGGAAATCTTAATGTTGATGATCATCCGTACAACAATTGTATGATGAGTTATTGACTTCATATGAAGACTATTCTAGAGTTTTCATTGGATGCGATAGAGTACTTGATTCATTGTCTTTCTTCATGACAAATATGATAGCACCACTAGAACACTATATGCTTATGCTTGAGACGAGACAAGTATCCTGATAGCCAACATGTTTGATTTGATTGTCCAGTTTTTCACCACAATAGGCTATGTAACCTTTTTCCCTCTATGGAGAGGTCCTAGTGAGTTTCAAAATCATCGTGTCCTTACACTTGCACACGTATACACCAATCACTATGTGATGGAACAGTTAGAAGGAGAGTATCCGATGCCTCCTATTTCAATAATATGGATCCGCCACAAAGACTCATCCGCAGCCGAATGGCAAACTATATATAAGTTGCGTCTAGAATTTTATAAGCGATTCAGACCTACAGAAAACATCTGTTATGAATATAGATGATTAGTTGTTGTTTATTTTTTGTTTTGGATTTTTGTTATGTAATGTTTAAAATTAAAAAAATGATAAAGATTTGTTCAGATTTTATTTCTTATAATATCGATGATATTAGGTTGATAAAAATTTATTTATACTTTTATTTTTTATAATAGTATTTATGTTATTATATTATAAAAATTATATTATTGTTGATTTTTTATCTTAATAAAAAATAAATATAAAATCATTAATATTAATTAAGTTAGTAAAAAAATGTAATTATTAAATAATAATGATTTATTGATTATTAATTGTACAATTTAAAGTCCATTTCATTCTTATAACTTAACCTGATTATTGATTATATGGGACTTAGAGAATATGATAAAAGTTATTATACTTAACCTGAAAAAAAAAAAAAAAAAAAAAAAAAAAAAAAAAAAAAACCTTTCTTTTACCATTTTAGACAAACAGGCTGCTCTTGTATGACTGGACAAGCTTTGTTTATCGCGCTCGTGATCGATACATCAGAAATTAATTTCTGATTTTGAAACAAGATTGGTGATTATGCTCGCAAGATCCAGATAGGATCGTGAGATCTATGTGCCATCCAATACACCATTTTTCCTCTACAATCAAAATCAGTCAACGAGGGTTCCAAATCAGACATCGTAGCAGAGCAACCACACATCATTGCCTAGGTGATGTCCTACTTCTGTATTCTTGCTTCATTTTGGGTATTCTTCATGTGCATCTAATCTATTGTTAGATTAGGAGACAGACTTGTGAGTTTATATTATTTGCAAAACCTGCAAATTCAGGGTTTTGCCATGGAAAAGGCCATTGATTTTTACTGATCGATGGGTTTTATTTCTCAGTTATGAATAATATAAATGTAAAAATGGAGCGTGTTCTGGCCTTTATCTGATATTTTCTTCCAGCTACCTTATGAGCATCTGTTCTGTTGGTTGATTGTGCCTACATTGTTAAGCTAATGTTTGTGCTTACATTGTTATGCTGCACAAGTAGGTGCAACATAATATTATTTGATTGCAGTTGAATTAGTGTTGTTGATGATATCTTTCAAACTTAGCTTTTAGAAGAGGTAAATGCTAAAATCACCGGGGGTTAAGTTGATCGATTGTTTTGGATGAGAGCAAATGTATTCGGCTTCTCATTAACACCATAATCTACTACACTTTGTGATAATTTGTATTGTGACTTTGATGATAATACATTTGGTCAAATGCAAAAGGGTTAAATGTAAGAAATAGCAACGTACATTCATTAATCTTTTTATTTTTGCAATATTGTACTTTCATTTATTCTCTATTAAGACATTTTAGTATTTGTTGATGTCTATATGAACAGGCCCATGAGGGTTTATATAGTATCCATGAAGATGAATGATTCTAAATGGGTGGAACACACAATGCTTAATTTCCATGAAATTAGAGCCTAAAACTAGAAGACAAATTAAAGATGAAGAGTTATAATACACTGCCCCAAATTAGATGTTCAAAGACTTGCAAGTCTTGGCAATTTGAATTTATTATCAAGATCTTTTCCAAACTTGTGATATTTTCAAAGATACATCACTTTTAAAAAAGTGATGTGATGAGAATTGTTAAAAGTGGGCTCCACAACAAGTAATTCTTGGTCTGTGTTAGAAGGCCCAAACATGCTCCTGGGCCCATGAGGGTGGCCTCAAATTGGTGGCCACTTATATGAGGCATACACAATTTCCATCAATACTTATTTTCCATAAAATTAGAACAAGACTATAAGAAAAATCATAGATGCAGAATTGGAATTAATGGCCCCAAATTATACGTTCAAAGACTTATAAGTCTTGGGAATTTGTCTTTATTGTAGATATCTTTTCTCATCTTGTGATATTTTGCAATTTGTATTTTTTATAAAAAAAAAATTGAAAGTATGAACTGGAGAAGCTATGTAGTTTAGTTGATGGATAGGCTAATTACTAATTACTTAATGTGTTCTTCTAACAGCTATCATAGAGAGTAAAATGAAAATTTTATTGAATATACTTTCATGTATTTTTTTTAAAAAAAAAAATTAATGCATGTACAAAGAAAATTATCTATCATATTGTAATGAGCATCTCAATTAAGGTTTAGTAACTAAAACATCATTATACTTTCACGGTTTTTTACATTCAATACACGAGCAAAAATAAATTTTCATATAATAATACTCATATCAGTTAAGAAACTAGTTATCTACATACCTGTATGAAGCAGAATCTAAGTTGATCATTTCAATAATTATTTTTAGTAATTTGTATCCAGTTTAACGGCTTCTTTTTTTTTTTTTTTGGAAAAAGTATTCTCCTGGATGTCTTTAAATGGCCAACATACCCCTTGTATTACATCAAGAGGTAGCTAACTATGAAAGTAGGATACTATAATACTTAATACATCAATACGTTGTCTTTGAGATTAATATTAATAACATGATTTTCTTAAATTTTGTAAATGAGTAGTGCAAAGTTCTAAAGTTGAATGGAGTGGAGCTTCAGAAGCTACAAATTGCTGGTCAGAAAAGACAGTTGCAGAATTGGAGCCTTTAATATGTGATTTTTGATTCACAGGAGCTTAATTTAGGTAAACAGAAGGTAGGATTTGTTGCAAATGAAAACTTCTGTTTATGTATGTTATGTTTATTTTTGAGTAAAATAAAATGTTTTTGGTCCCTGAGTATAGCTGAAATTTTCAGTTTTGGTCCTTATTTGAGGTTCTTGAAATGCTTTGGTCCATGTTTCAGTTAAAATGACTATATTTGGTTCCCGATCGAGTATAGCTGATATTAATTATAGTCATTTTATTTGGAATATGGACAAAAGAATGTTGAAAAATTGTATTAGTTATCATCCTAATCTGTTTTAAATCGAATCATTATTAATGCAGTGTTATTTTAAATATCATTTTTAACAATGGAAAGACCAAATAATATCACTATTGATATCATTGGTAGATTTGTATTTGACTGAAAGATTCCATTAGTTTTGCATTTGGGGATTTATATCATATACCAAACAATATCATATCAGAAGATGGGAAAAGATATCTACTATAATAAAGACAAATTGCCAAGACTTGCAAGTCTTTGAAGTTTAATTTGGGGCAATTAATTCCACACAATTTATGGCGACCCACTTATAATCATTCATCTTCACGGTGGAGACTATATAAACCCTTATGGGGGCAGTTCATATAGGCAGGCATCAATACAAACCAAAAATCAGCAATTAAGATTTTGATTTACATTATGAATTTTTGTGTTTTTATAATTTCCTCACTTCTCTTGCTACTCCTTGTGACTACAACTGGCAGCCAATTGGTAGCTGCAGGAGGAAATGATATGAAAAAGAAGTGTTTGGATAATGAGAGAGATGCTCTCCTTCTTTTCAAAGCTTCCTTTCAAGACCCTTATGATTATCTCTCTACATGGAGAGCTGATGAGCATGACTGCTGTAAATGGAGTGGAGTCACGTGCAGCAACCAAACAGGTCATGTCACAGGGCTTGATATCAATGTATATTGGCTTGAAGGTGAGATAAGCCATTCACTGCTTAACTTAACCTACTTGAATCATCTTGGCCTTTACGGTAACGCTTTTTATGGAACCATTCCCACCTTCATTGGTTCTTTGACTCGATTAAGGTACCTTAACCTTGGCTTGAATCATTTTAATGGGACCATTCCCAGGTCAATTGGTTCCTTGACTGAACTAAGTTACCTTTCCCTTTCTTATAATTCTCTTTATGGAACCATTCCACCAGAGTTGGAAACCTCACCAACTTGCAAGAGCTTCATCTTGATTCTGTTGGAAGGTGTAGAGTGGAAAAGGTAGAGTGGTTGTCTCATCTCTCTCAGTTG